CGTATTATCTATGTACTTTGATATCCAATACCAATATGTAATTACTTTTAGAAATTCATTCTGTATGCCCCCCTAACAAGATAAGGGCGTTTCAAAGAAACGACATATCAGAGATGTGCCAGTACTGTGCCAAATTAAGTATGAATGTATGTAAGGCACAAAAAAACCCTTGTACCAAAGGTGCTTTAAACAAAACACAGTATAATGGGTACGTACATATATAATGGTTAAGTAGGGTCAATAAAACAAGTAAATCTCGAGATCTAATCACAAAATACTTCTTTTCATATTCCAGAAATATTTTAATGTTTATTGAACAATCTTATTCAAATTAATATTAAATTCAATAACGTCAAAATACATCAAAGAGTTCGAATTGTTCGACCTGTTATTTTTTTAAACGTGTAATATTATTGTATAAAAATCGATATTTTTATTAATACTATTACATTATATTTAATTAAATTTTACTTCTTATGTGTTACAATGAAATTAACGCATGTTTTTGTGATGATGCTTCCTGATTTTTAAAACAAAGAGAACCATCGTAGTACGTAGCGTTGAAGTGGAAACCATCAGTTTCTGTAAGTAATTATAAGATTTATAAGCTTAAATAAGTTTTAAAAGCTATCAATGATATCTCATTTTGTAGTTAAACAATCGAAGCCTCCTTAGCTCAGCGGCAGAGCACTGGTCTTGTAAACCAGGGGTCGTGAGTTCAAACCTCACAGGGGGCATCAACAAACTTTTTCATGCTTTTCCCAGTTATTTTCTTTTAACAATAACTTATGTTAACTAATTTAATTAAACAATGATATGCTACATTAATAAAATCCTCGGCATATAATAAAATCACAAACAACGACATATTCTTTGCTTTATCGTTAAAATGAAAGATAACGCATCGCAACTTAACAATATTGATATTTCAATGTTGACGTAATTGTATTGATTTTAGAAGAATATGTTTCTACTATTTAGGTATGAATAGTAAGGCCTCCTTAGCTCAGTGGTAGAGCACTGGTCTCGTAAACCAGGGGTCGTGAGTTCAAACCTCACAGGGGGCACATGCTTTTTTCCTACAGTGCCTTGTATAGATAACTTTTATCTGAAAGTGAAAATTCTATCTTTACTGTCTTTTGATTTACATCGCTGTTTTCTTTGAGGTTCGTAACCACTCTTCCAACGCGTTATGATTCATTTAGTCAAATTAGATCAATGGCAAATTTTTGATGCAACAACAGAAGAATAATTAATTTGTAATTAATAGTAATCTTTATGCAAAACCTTTAAAATAACGTTAAATAATAGGCCCTTAGCAATTATTTACTCTGGATTTTTCGCTGTGAAGATATATCCGTTACCACTATATAACCTAAAGTAAGGATATAGTTTAGTATCCATTTACGTAATATTTGTTTAGTTACTTCTTTGATGGTTTTAAAACAAATATAATTTTGCTACTCAAAGTTTATTTGCAAATGTTGAATTGACCTGCGCGAATGTTTCCGATTGTATCGATCAGGCCAAATAGCTAGCTTCAACAGTGGGTTGTACTAACTGTCGCCCACAAATTTGTCGGCGAGGGATTTTAAAAAGCTTTTGTTGCTCCAGCACACATAAGCTACCATCCAATAAAAGACCGGTCATGATCAGTCCAGCAGTTTCGTAGATTAACGAAAATTTACACCAATATGCAGATAAGCATATTTTTTATATTGCATTTTAGTTATAAGCAAAGCAAACTAATCATATTCAATCATTGTTACTAACAATATCCATACATTATGGGCATAGGTTTGGAATAAAATAATTTTATTTTATGTTTAATAAAACTGCCATCTATTAGTATAACGAGCAATTTCAATGAAGAGTATTTACAATCTTTGAAATAAAATAATATTTATATACTCATTCTCACCCCCATCTTCAACTATTGTAATTTTTTATTAACTTCGAATCACTGATTAATGTAAAAAATCAAAAAGGCTTAAACCTATTTTTGTTGGGTACACATACCTACGTACATATAATGATCCGTGTTAAAATGTAGTATGTACCTACATATGTATCTTGTTTGTACCATATTATTACGTTTTTAATTGATGTACCGGAACCTTGAGATATCGTAATGACCTGTCGTGTTGATCTTATTTATTTACAGATAAAAAGGGAGCAGTCTTCTGTGGATTCACTGCGAGACGCATTCCGCAAATATTTGTGACAGCGTGACATAAACTAATGCCTGTACGACTACAGCGCCTTACCATCCACGCACTGCCTGTGTGGCATCTCTCTAAAGGTGGTTAAAGTGTAGCGTCGCGGACCGACTTGCGTCGCGTCGTTTGGTCGCTACTACAGAAATCTCTATAGTATCATGCACATTGGAATCCTGCCTAGGAGTTTAAAGGTGAGTTATTTTTTTATTTCAAATAAACGTGAAAGGCGTTTCACGGTTGCACTGCGTTACCGGCATGACTCATGTTGTTTTTGTTGTATTGTATCAAAATTCATGTTGATAATTAGAAAAGATTTGCGTGGAACTTGGATAGTTTAAAGTAGGTAGTTAGAACCAACATTATTTAGTTCATATAAATATTCAATACGATCGCATCTGTCCGTTTTTTGTTGTTCGTTGTCCTTTGCTCGTTCTAATATGTGGTGTATGTTATGTGCTGAAATATTTTTTAATTAATCATGTATCCAACTGTCTCAATTTTTAATAAACAGTACAGTAAGTACAGCCTCTAACCGATTGAAAATAATTGATATTAAAAACTACGTCATTGACTTCTTGACAGGCCGCAAATGGTCAGTATGGTTATAAAAAATATTCAAAGACAAAGGCAGAGTAACTTTTGTGTCATTATTATTTGTTCCGCCTTTGTTTTCTTGGACCTCAACCTTTCTTTATCACACTGTACATGGTTTATTTATAGGCGAATTATTCTTGGCGGTCAGCGGTTAGCGCTCGTCAAAACATTGGTTGAAGAAAACATTGCATATGGTAGTGCATTTATTCATAGCTTTGCTTATTTTGCGTTATATTTTCTTTTTCGTAAAGTTCAGTACGCATTACACACTATTCATGTACCCAGACTTGCTCTCTTAGACGTGTTATGATTGTTTAAAAGGGCGTGCGACGCTTCGCACACCTGATTACCCTGCTCTGGCCTTCCTTTACTAACTTTGCGTTTCACATGTGTACACATGCAGTTTATTTACTTTTTACCATAAGGGGTTAGCTTTGATGCTTACTCTGTAAGTCTGTGCATATTATCTGACGTTTTTTTTTTCATTTCAATTTTAATTAACCAGCTGTATTAACGACAGCGTAAAAGACGCAGTATCGTGTCAAATAATCAATAAACTCATTCTAAAATTATTCGGTAGCAAACGAGAATGATTGAATTGACTAAAGGATTGATCGAACATGTCCGTGAAATTGTAACACGTACATCCAATAAGTTAACTACAATAAGAATTAACTTGAGTTTAATAGTGGCATTTTCTAATATTATTGTTATAAAACCATTACACTTTTTTGTATAAGCTGATTAATTAAAATGTTGTACTACTTCTTGTCGTCCTCAGCTCAACACGTCACGTCCAAGAGGCTTAGGCCCTATTCAATTTAGGGGTGATTGGGCCATAAGCAGATTGGTCAACCTCACATCTTTGAATATCTTCGCGGATATGTGTCCTTTGCATCACGATTTTTTCCTACATTGTAAAAAAATCGGAAAAATGCATATATAAAATTCGAAAACACAGTCCAGGGCGGGTATCGAATCTGGACGTTTTAGATAACGGTCTGGTCCGGTCAAGCGTTTAACAACTGCGCCATCGACGCACAATATACTACTTCCTGTAGTCGTTCCAAAATCTAGACTTATCCTAGGATCGGATGGAAATACTTTGTCATAAGGTTATTTACGCTTCAAATTGCGTTTTAAGGAACATTGAAACGAATCAATAATCCGATGCCCATGGATATCCGCAACACCAGAGGAACTGCATATGCGTTGCCGACTTTAAAGGGAAGTGTATGCTCTTTTCTCGAAGGATCCTAAGTCATATTCATTTGGAAGTACATAATGTAACTATAAATGTTGTTATCTGCTCTTTTTTGGTTTAATGGTCTGGATCGTTTATTTTAATTTTAAATAAAATGTCTAATTATGAAGATTACCTATAAAGTGATAACTATACGCTACGCTCATAAAGCGTACCATTGTGGGACTAGCTGTGAGTCAGGGGTGCGTTATCAAGGGGTAACTTAGGTGAGTCATACATGTGAATCACTCTCTATTTGCATTTAGAAACAGCCTAGAGCCGAATAATCATTTAGTCGTTTACAGAAACAATTGTATTTTTTACCAAGCTTTACGTAAACTGTTTCCTGTTTACATAATTATATGTTTTAAAGAATTAGCTTTCATACGTGTATTTTTGTGGAATGACATTTTTTGTTGTAGAAAATGCGTGCACCGATTTTTAAACTAGTAAAAAGTAGTAAAGTGTTTAAATGGAATTATTTCTATTTAAGAAGATAATCAATCTGATTTTATATGATTGATAATATAATTTTGGCATTTTTACCATCTGGCGGGTAGGTTTTTAAATTCAGAATTTCTTTTAATAAAAAAACTTAAGAACTGTTACACAGTACTGGATTAGACATCGGCAACAACTACATCTGTTGCCAAATGGGCCAGCTCACCCGTTGCAATGCCACGACCACAGAGAAGACAGGGGTCAAGTGGAAACGATTCCACGTTTGGTCCAACGAGTGTGTTTTCCAGAGGCTTAATTTTAGTCCTCTTTCCCTTCCTGGAAAGGGAAGTGGATTTGACAAAGTACAAGGATTGAACTCCGCCACCGCCTTGTGTGTGGTCATGGATTTCTCTATACACTTTGTAGGTTTATTTATATTGTTAAAAAATAAAGGAATGTGTAAAATATACAACATAAATTTTTAATCAAAACGTTTAATTTTCAGCTTGAAAAACAAAACAAGTTTTACAAAAAAAAATCATTAGGAAAATGCATCACACAGGCTCCAAGCCTGTTCTACAAAAGAATATCTAAATATTAACAAACAGTATTTGCTACAGTTCTATAATGTGTGGCGAACTGTCGCCTTGTACATTGTCACACACATTTCAATTGTAATCATTTATTTTTTCCGACAAAAGCGAATTCTACAAATTCTAATATCAAATAATTAATTGTACTGACTTCTTAAAAATACATCACAAACTTAGTACAAGGTTTTATAGCTTAAATACATATATGAATAGTATTTATCTAATACATTACATTGCTTTTCTTTGCTTATACGTTAGTTATAAATATTTTATAAAAGGAAGAATATCTTTGCATTCTTAAACAAATGCAGACAAAAGTATATAATCGGGGACTTTGCGCCACCAATTTACATATACTTTTAAATATTACGTTTATAAAAATAAGACTAAAAGATACAACCCCACGCCCAATGGTAAAATATTTTAGGCTAAATAAATATTAAAAGTCTTTTGTGATTTTGTGATACAAAGTAAACCACATCACTTTATACTCGAATGCCTATAATCCTCGAATTAAACACATCCCCAAAGCGTTTAGCAATTAAAATAAAACAATAATAATAATATCGTAATTAAATATTATCATTATAAAGTTATGTCCTCAAAAAATATTTAGATATTGGTACTTGATAATTCAGAATTCATTAATAATACGGTGACCATGCAAGAAAATCGATGTCATGCGAGATTTACGGACTACCTACAATTTTGGTATGTTCACAGCTTTATTATTAATAAAAAGTGCAATCCAATGTTACTATAGTGTAGTGTAGAAATACAAATAGAAATAAATAAAGCGAACTTTCAAAATTGCACTTGAACAGCCACTAACTTATACTAAAGAAATAAATATCTCTCTCTAAATTTTATTAAATCTACATTTTTAGAAATAACGAATTAAATATGCAGTCTCCGTGCGGATGAGCTTCGCCGAGTATCTCGTGTCACTCCGCCTATAGATTCGTTTAGCCATTATCCGAAATCGTACGAAAAACTCTCGGCGGTTGCTTCAGAGCGAGACAAACGTATATATTTCACATAAGTTTATCTCACTAGCGTTGTTGTTACGATTCCAGATGATGTCTAAATGTACCTTTACGGAACATGCAAATTCAGCTCGAATTCTTCAGGTCTTTAAACAGACCTTGTATAAATTATATTTTTATTTATAAATTAATTATCTTTCTAGGACGAAGAGTACCAAAATAAATTTGGCAAATACTATACAAAATGATGACTTATAGTCATACTATAAATAACAGATCTATCGGACAGATTTCTGTGCAATATTCCGTTACATATTTCTTCACTAAATATAGTTATTGCACGAGTTCTAAGATGGCTTGTTACAAGCGTCTGTACGAACTAGAAACTCGTTCCCACCATAATACACCCTAACAGAATACTCTGAGATCAAATAATATATAATTATTGTTTTGACAAACATATTAATATTATCAGTCTGAAGTTAAAAACATCGATTGCTATCTTTATACATCATAAAGCATTTACTCGGGCTATTTATAAGTTCAAACAGGCAAGCTACAGTCTTTACCTAAAGTTTTATCTACGCATATTTATATCATGGTCACAAATTCACAAATATTGCTTCAAATCACATGGTACAAATGAAAATTATATTGGCGTTGAGTTGAATCTCTCAGATAGTTTTTGTCTTATAATCTTAAAAATATATTTTTATTCTGTACATAGACAAATATATAGATGTATCACCAGCCTTAAACCTCGCTTCTAATATACCAAGTATGTAAACCTATCTCTATAATAATCATTGACCAAATAGGACTCTGCTAGAACTGATGCCGAACGGCATACCATTGACAATTACAAGATAAACTATAATGACAATGCGGCGACAGCGCGGCGCACGCGCAGAAACACACTAAAAATAATAAAAAAACTCAGAATCTTCATAAAACAACTCAAACGCTGTGACGGTTAATTATATTTTGAAGCAAAACACGTGAGTTTCTGAGCCCAAAATCCTTGTTTAGAACATATTGTTATCTCTGTTTTGCCAAAGATAATGACAGGGATGACGATATGTCTAATACAGAGATTTAAGCCACAGAAACCAAGAGTTATTGCGTCTTATAATGTTATATATGAGCATTTAAGGTTTTTATAATCTGTGTTAATACGCCGCGCGGCCGCAACACTCGTGTGGCTTGCTACTTATTGAATCTAACAAGTGGGTAGAAGTACATTCGATTCGTACCGATTATTTATAATACGAGTAAAAAGTTACACTGAGACATTAAAACCCCGTTCAAAATATGTGTGTTATACACACAATTGATTTTTAGAACACATTAAAATCTGTCATATTATCTAGGAACTAAATTATACCACGCAATAGTTTTTTTTTAACTAACAAAATTAATTAAACATGTTGAAAATGAAAGCCATAGCGTTAATTGCAGACCTAGCAAAGCCAATTTGGTTCGTAAGGCAAATATATACAAACATATACTTAATATATCTGAACTAATTCAGTCTATATCGTGTACGATTTTAACGAAACAATTTTTTTTTCATTAGTTATTAAGTTAACAATCTCGAATAAAAAAATATGTCCACATCACAAATGCTCTTTTTATAATTGAATTTCATAAACATTTTAGCTTAATGATGACAGCCGATTATTAAGACACTAAAAGCAGGCTCGTTAAATTAGTTATAACATCAACGCCTAATTTTCACTGATATTACATTTATAATCTAATTTCATCAATTAAAAAAAGGTAAATAAATAAATACCTTATTTATTATTTACCTATTGGATTAAAAAGGCAAATTCTATGTAAATACATTTTATATTGTTAAAAAATCATTAAAGAATCAACTCATTTGAAGAAGTCTTCATTAGATTGTTAAAAAAATGTGAACCTAAAACGTGTTTTCCCTGGAGCAGATCGTTTTAACGTTTAAATCCATGGAATCAATGAGAATTTCCTATCGGTAGGCCAATCGGCCCTGATGCTTTATAATTAAAAATGAAATTTAAACATAAAAATTTAGAACACATAGGAAAATTATTAAAAGAAAATGTCCATATATCATATAATTATAAAGTTACAAATCATGTAACACAGAATGTTAACGGCGTAATAGTATGTAAACGTTAATCCAACTACCGTAGTTATTCTAGTAGGAAATTTTTCAACCGTTCTTATTAGTTAATCTAACTTATGACATAAAATAGGACATTTTCTTTATAACATAATTAAAATAAAATTAAATATAAAATTTGTAATCATTGACATGTAAAAGATTAATGAAAAATCTGTTCTATGTGAACATTTTTTAACAATAAAATTTCATTCGTTTTTTTTTTAAATAGACAAATTAAAAATATATATATAAAATATAGTTTTTCTCGCAATGTGTATAATAGCAAAGGCAGGTGTATAAAGCCAAATTCTCTTCATATTTTTTTTTGTAATGTACATATACTTTTAGATAAAATCCATCATTTAAAATATATCACACTTTATGGAATACATTACAATAGTACCCGTATAAAAACTTTACAGTCTTACTATTTTTTTTAAAACCTACAGCTTACTTTTTTTAGATCTGCCTTTGTTGTTATACACCTGATATTACAGCGTGTCCGGTCGTCCGGTAATTATCATACAAGACAAGACATTTCCTAAAATTTGACAATTTAAAACTCTGTAAAGGAACTTGTAACACTAGTCGGAGAAACAAAACGTTCGTTAGTTTAAAGGTACGTGTCCATTGGCCTGCGCACGACGAACATAAAGATGCGTCTATCATCAGCGCCAGCGCAGCCCGAATCGTATTAAGGCAAAGAAAATATGTTCATGCGATGCGTCTAGTGCGGGTAAATGGACCCGTACCTTAAGTCGTAGAAACATATAACTTTTTGATACAAGTGCTTATAAAATCGTTGTCAGCAAGGCTCAATATAGAATGCAGCTAAAATCTGGTTTCTAAATTGTTCAATTAAATATCAATGTGTCCTGTGTCTAAATACACGAATAAAATCTCATGCCTATCATTCAAAAAAATAAATAAATAATAACAATATTTTTAATAAATGACAAAGGTATGTAACAGCTGATAAAACAACGGTTCTTTGAACACCTGAAAAAAATTCTAAAAAGTCTTTTATCGGGCGGAAACAAGTCCCGTTTCTTTAAAAGCTGGGTTGCATGATCCCCGTTCCATGGCTACTGGAAGGCTACTGGTACAAAGTGTTACGGGTCGCTAAATGTATGGAAGACCAAGACTACACCATAGGTTCCATCGCGCCTTAACAGGTCCTTAAGTAGACCAATTATCTTCCGTAGTTTGGTTGCGCTTCAGCAACCTCTATGGAGAAACTGATGGCTTTGTCTTTGCAAACAACTATCGAAATCATATCCTAAAGAATGGTTCGGTTAACATTTGTTGAGTATGGCGTCGTCCGGTAAGTCTATTAGACATATTATTTCCGGATGGTCTTGACTTGCGGACGCTCGTGCTAGTTTCCGGACACTGTAAATATCGTTTTAATGCGTTATCTATTCGGCACTTTTCAAAACGGCACCGATGCGAATCTCTAACGCCTGCATTTCCTCTTCTAACTCTTGCTGTAAAAAAAATTAAAAGATTGTAAGGTATTTTGTTACAAAATATTTCTGCAGTAAATTGCAACAGTAATTATTGAAATTTCGCACATGGCAATATTGATTTTTATTTTATACATCAATAGACAATCGATTCAATTCGGACGAACTTCGTATACTGCGTAATGTCGCCTCCCCGGCGCATCGAACAAATAAAATATTTTCGCGGAGCAACCATAAATTATTAGTTTCGACGATTTACGTTGCTTTATGTACGAAGGGCCTTATAATTAAATCTGCCAACTATAGGCAAAGTATAGTCAATCTGGCAACATAGTACCAACAGTGGAGGGCGACATATTATTATATTGACAAATTTATATAAATATTTTTAAGTATTGGGTTAAATGTATGAAGGATAGTCTTAATAAGTTTACCTCATCAGAGCCGTCGAGGTCAGCTGCATTGTGAGGCGTTGTAACTAAGTTATTTGTTGTCGCAGCCGTTGTGGGTCCAGCGAAGATCTGTGCAATTAAAAATTGTATTTTTAATTTTTATTTACTACATAACATACAATTATTGTTGCATGTTTGTATTACTAACATGATTTACTAATAAACACAACACAACACTAATAAAAAAAACAATGATTCTACTTGAAAATGACTAATTTAATCTGGCAAAAAACTATATACAGTTGAATCTGGATAAGAAAGAGTCGAAGGAACCGCGATTTTATGGAGGTTTCTCTATGACCCTAGTTTTTCTTTTGTGAAGATTGTCCGTTGGGACTGAATAATAACTCTCGCTTATACAGGTTCGACTAAACATTCCTAAGCAACCAAGAGTATTGTAAGACAATTTTGTTCTACCAAATCTATATAAAAGATGATGGAAATTCAACTCTATTACTTTCAGTTAACGTATAAATTTGGTTCAACGGAAAGAAGATTTAGTTTAAAGGAAAATGGGTTTAATGTAACTACTGCGACCTACAACAAGGCGTTATTACCTCATCCACTGCACTTAATGCATCAAGTGCACTTCTCATATCAGCAAAATTATACATCTGTAATAAAACAAACTATATTAAAATCTTAAGAATATAGATTTTAATATTCATCTGTCTTTGATATTTTTATTATTGAATTAACGGAACACTAGCCTACTTCTATTAGCGATCCCTGTACTAATTCCACTAGCGCGGCTTGCATTCAATAAGCAGCCGTACACGGCTAGTCGCTTAGTGGAAAAGGGTCTAAATTAATGCACTCTTGTTGTAACTATTTCTATTGATTAAGGACATTATTTAAGGCACAGATAGTCTTACCTCCTCTAATTAACATTTCTCAATTAAAATCTTCTGCCAAAATAAATACATGATCAAAGTTATTGTATATATAAAGAAGATGAAAGAGAGATACATATGTTTACGTCTGAATGTTTCGGCAGTGAGAATCTAGGGTTTGATACAAATACTTACGTTGTTAGGCTGCGACCACGTGGATTGGACTTGGTTCACGTTATTTTGGTGCATGTTGAACGGACTCACATTGTAATCCGGCGAGCCATCCGCGTGACCTGAAACCAAAATTTCACTTGACACTCTCCACCCGCGCGGAATTAAAAAAAAACATAATTAGTATCCTATGTGTTCTTCCAGACTATGTTCTATATGTATGCCAAATTTTATCGAACATCCATCCATCTACCTAAATTTTCGCATTTATAATATTAGTAACATTTGAAACTAATTATATGTTGTAAAAATGAATACTTACCACCATCAATACTATATGGGCTAGCTCTTGCTGGATCATATTGTTGTGGGACAAAGGCATTTCCCCCCGCTGATGGTTGCGGTCCTTCGACATTTTGGTATCCGTTTGGCGGCACCATAACTCCACCTTGTACAAATTCTGGAGCAGGATAGCAATTCCCATCGGCATGTGGATAGTAACCAGCATAAAAAGGATTGAACCACCTGAAAATAATAATTATTTTTACAACACGCCTCCATACATTTCTAGAACAAAGAATACATTGAGTCACAAACTTATTAGAAGACAAAATCTTTATTTAAGTTTTAATAACATTTAAAAGGAAGGGTTCACATTTAAAGTTTTCACAGAAATTTATTATTCTAAAGCTCTGAGCCCTTTCTCTGGAGCAGCAATCAACAAAGATAATAATCAAACTCACACAGGTCCGGACGGGTTCTGAATCATAGCACCATTCGGCTGTATCAAGGGAACAGCGGTAACTGCTGAAAATAAATAAACAATATTTTAGTTAATTAACAAATAACTTTATATCTCTCACTTTAATTTGATATGTACAAAAATAAATAATTAGGTAGTACTTACGTCGAACACAGTTATATGGGTGAGGTACAGTTTGCGCAACAGGGTATTGCGCGTACATATGTCCTGGTAGGGGTACAGGGGGATGCAATTGCACCCCGGCCGGCAATTGCATGGGCGTTAGAGATACATGAGAAGGCAAAGGAATTGGTATTGGTTGCACAAACTGTGGTGTCATTTGCTGTGGCATCTGTTGTGGCATCGCCGCTATTGGAATTGGAGCTGGCATACTTAATGCTAATGGTACAGCGTGGTTATTTGTTCCGTCGTTGTTAACTATAGTGCGGTTTGCATCAATCCTAAGAATAAAAAATAAAAAAAAATCATATTACTGATTTTCTCTAAAAAAATAAATTGACAAGAACGTATTATATTTGACAATACAAACTAAGAAACTTATACCTTTTAAAAATCTACTTTAAAAGAATATATTTGGTAATTATTAATTTAGCACTAAAAGTTAATTATTTATGTAGTACATCAATTTATTCTAGTATAATCTTGGTCACTTTATCTGTTGTTGAAGTATTGGCAATAAATTATAGAAAACTAATATAAATAATAAGTAACTTAATAATAATAACTTACCTTTCAAATTCTTCTTCGATGTGTAAATGAGGGCACATGTTTCGTCTCGGACAAAACTCTCTGGTAGCAGAATCTCTGCAGGTCAGCATTTTGTAACTTATTTTATTATTAATACCTCTGCCTAAAACAATTTTATAATTTTATGAGTAATTATTGTTTGCTTTTTTATTTAGTTGAAAAAAAATAATTCACCTACCCTTACTAACTGACAAGAGGATAACGTTAGTTAGGTTGTTGATTTTTTTAATCATTTAAACTTTTTTTTGAGTTCTTTGGTAGTATGCCACTCCCTATGATATGGCTATTAAAAAGGAATTGGTCAAATTTCAAGAAACTTATTAATATTATTAAAATTAATTATTTTGATTAATAATGGAATACTACAAATAAAACACAAATTTACCCGATTGATCCATTCCGTTTTGTCTCACAGCACAGTTGGCGTCTCTTATAGCTATATGGTGACAAAAATGCAGGCAGGATATCACTTCTTTTATCGACGCTATTATTTCTGATAATTGTATCCATGTGGGACCTTTAGTTTCTGTAAAATGTATTTGTTTTTTTAATTTAAAAAATAGTTCTGTGAATGAATAACGAATAAACAAGCAATTTAATTTACATATACTTTAAGAAAATTAGCAATTTTAATAAGTTCACATGAATACTATACTAGTTTTTAAATTAAATTTAAATATAAAATTCTATACAAATCTCAACAACTTGATTTCTATTCACAAACGTTTAAGTCACGACCAATCTAATATAATTATCGTTTGATAAAAAAAAGTTGTTTAAAATGCTAAATTTGTATAAAAGTAAATTTACCAACCTGGGCTTATATCAATTGTGGCAAGATAGTTGAGATGCCTGCTCATAGCAACCAGTTGTGCTATATCTCCAGTCCTCTGCAACGCTATGTACAATTCTTGTACAGACTGCGCAAATGACTGTGGTGTTTGCAGTTTGTCTATAATACTTTGCATGTGGCTTTTGTGTGCCGTATCACCATATAGAAGAGCACTCCATTGGTCCGGGGCTATCCTCAGACCTGCTTCCGTTGCAATCTGAACAATCTGAGCGTCGTGTTCGCGACGTAATGTCTCGTATGTCCGAAATTCTTCCTTTAATTGCATCAACGATGAATCACATTCACGTTTTGATACCTGTAATGAGACATATATAATTTTGAACAAATGATATGAGACATTAATAAAGCTAGGATAACTGCTAATATTATGTAACTAACCCTCTTCAAGGAAAAAGTTTTTTTATGCTAATTTCTATTTTTTTCTTTGTAGTGACCATATAAATATTATACCATATTACCTTAAAGCAGGAAGCCCTGTAGAGTAGTTGTACAACATGACCTATACTAGTCTTGGAAGCTTGAGGGAAATGAGGTTCTAATCTTTGGACTACGAACATCACTAAAACCTGAAACATAAGATATAATAATATTTAAAAAAAACAGTAGGTGTCACTTTATGCACACAACCGGACACCATGGTGATCAAGTCAAGTAAGTTAGGGTGACTATGGTTTAGTTCAACACTCTGACCCAATGTAAAATAAATGACCTAACACATATCTTTGATTTTCTTCTCAGATATGTGCAGGATGAACCGATTTTTTCCTTCACCGTAACGAGGGTATTGTAGTAAAAAGTACAAACCTTTCGTGATAATGCTGACCCATCTTCTAAGGCTAACAATACTAATTTGAGGACCTCCTCTTGCATAGCAGGTCCAAGAAACTGACAACCACGAGCTCTCACTGCTGCCCATAAATTTGCACTTAGTTGTTGGGAGTTCTGTAATTATAAAATTATAGACTTTAGTACAATAATGTCAACAACACATTTGTATCAAATCCAGATTTCATTCAAAGTCTATTGACTCCTCCTACCTCCTAAAGTCAAGGAGTTTTATAAGAATCACACTTTATAGGGCTCTTGGTTATGGGCATGGTTGCGGGTGGAGTAAAGCATTCGCGAACGTTCGCCACCATAATGATTTGATGGCACTGTATCGCAATAAAATCTATGTACTACTATGTACAACTGTTCAGTCAAATAACTTGATAAAATAAATACATTATTTACTTGATGTTGTAATATTAGTTCAGTCACAGTTCTCTCGCCTAAGGATCTGGCAGCGCGCGCCGCTCGCCCTCTGCCTTCTTCATCAGTCATTGCACATTGTAACAGGGTCACCAGCTTACGCTGCATAGGTCTTGACAATCTTGTACTGGCTATACCATTGTTGCCTGAAAATCAACAAATCAAGTAAATATATATAAAATACTAGCTGACCCTACAAAATTATCTTTGGGGAATTCTGGTAATGACTAAAATTACTAAAAAAAATAAAAAAAAATGTCCAAAAAAGCCAAAGATAGCTGGTTCCCTGTCTACTCCTCTGAGTTACGGATGGGACTTATATTGTTGTTGATGAATATAATATATTTAAGAAAAGCTATTACTCCTACATTCAAAATTGACAATTTACTTTTGAATGTGGGTTAGGTAATCTTGTATATCTTTGCTTCGTTACTAAGATTCAAATACATATCACACTTACCACTACAATACAGGTAGAGTGCAAGTTGTTCTAAGCAGTGTACTATAGTATCATAAGCCCGCCTCTCGTGCTCCGGCAGTGCCTGAATACATGGAGGATGGTAGGGCACCGCAGGCGGCCTGTACCCGGCAAGTTGAAGCAATGCAGTATTGACCACCAATTCGTCCAGATCTGTTTGGATTACGGTCTGAAATGTATACAATAATTTATTTCATGTTAGAAATTACGAGCATATAAAATGTACTTGACAGTATCTGCAGATTATAGATCATCTCATTTGTTATTAATTAATTTGATTGCTTTAAAATAAATATTTTTTTTGTATTTCTTTCAATATCATTTTAAATAAGGCAAAATTTTAAAAAAAATATCTGCAATGTCTATATTTTCAATGAAATTTATCCTTACAATTGATTTATTGATGCGTCATATTATGATTATAAAATTATTGTACCTGATCGAAAGGGCATTGTTTTCTGTGTAAATTTTTGAGGCATTGTTTGCAGAGTGTATGACCGCATCCTAAGCTAATAGGGCTCCTAGGAGGATGGCCAAACTCTCGGCAGCACACTGGACAGTTGAGGTAGTCCGTCCATTGCGGAGCCTGAATTGGCATTCTGTAACAATAATTTTAAAACATATCTGCAATAAACTGAAACATAAAAAAATTATATCTTATAAATATTAAAATAGTCATTTATGTATTGCACACATTACATAAACATGTATTTATATAATATATTTTAGAATATATCAGTCTGTTCGCAGTGCAGACTTCTTTATGGTGGTCTTTCTTTTTTTATAAGTTTGAAATAAAATAAAACATAAAAGAAATAAAATAAATTCTAATAGATCAACAAATGTAAACGCCAAAAGCAGACTACTTTCTAAGCTTACAATTACAACAGCTCAGCTTATGTTTTCTTTAAAATAAGATGTATATAAAATAATTTAGATAAAATTTTAATGACAAACAATACTAATGTGTGACTTGCCCTCGCATTTTGCTCGCTCCACATTAATACCCTAGGGGCACAGCATAGGCTTTTAAAAGCGACTTGTATTGCCTAGGAGCTAAGGCACAGAACATGTAACTAGGTCCAATGAGGAAGTGCGGAACGCTAGGGAGAGATAGATAGACAAATTTTGCGAAAATTACATAACACAAAGATTTGCATAAACACTTCGCATAGCCAGCAGTTGATTAGCAGAGCAAAGATAGACAAGGAAGGAAATATTAAGTAAGAAATTAGAAAAGTAGGGGAATGTAGCACTTTACACATAAGATGTAACGGCAAAAGGTAAAATTTTCTCAATTCATAACAGTAATGGTTAAACCAACTTATTCTTATAGGTTGAATTATATATTATTCTAGAAGCTATTTACTGGGATAGTTAGTGTGAACAAGATCACAGAAGACACAAGAATCACTCTTGTCAGCTCAACTCTCCAAAGGTTACTGGGATATAAATATAATTAAATCTATTTATAAGGACTTCAGAAAGCTTATCTGAAATTGCCAATCAATGTAAATAGTAATTGCGATGAAAATAAGATGTGACGTATTTATTAGTCACACCACATGCGGTACATACGCCATGTAATGATACAATGATGAGTAATAAAAAACAAAATATGCTGCACCCAATATTAAAATTTAATTGTATATGACAATTTGGCAGTACAAATATTACAATAGTAACTACCAATTAAAAGAACTAACTGCCCTTCTCCATCATTTCATAGAGACTTAAGCACTTTCTCTTATTTATTTCATCATCATCACCTCACTATATCCCCAAATTAAGGGCAACCAGGCTATGGTCAACCATGCTGTCCCAGGGTGGGTTGGTTGACTTCACATATATCTTTGAAATTCTTCGCAGAGTTCTTAAAAGTCAAATGTTTAAACCCCTGAGCCTCCGTCATCTTATTTATTTACTCTCACTTTATTTCACTCTAAATTAACAGTCTATTACATCATGTTATCTATCTATCTTTCATATTGTTATTATAAATAATATCTGTATATATGGCAAATATAAAGTTTAAAAGAATCCCAAAAGTATTTCCAAAAAAAGTCTTTCACAATTAAAGTAAAAACACTCTATTAATACCACTTTATAAATCAATTGAGTAAACAAAATCATACATACTTTAAAACCAAAGCGCACTTTCTCTTATCTCCTCAATTGTTTACTAAAATGTAGCAGATATCATAATTTATTGTCCTGTCTTAATGCTTTTATTGTAGTGGAATAAATTATTACCCTTGTATAATTTTTTTTAAGATAAATAAATTCCAACATGAATCATAAAATTAGCAAATTTCAGACCAAATTGCCATTGCCAGTAATCACAAACATCAATGTTGTTATGATGCATTTTGAATGTATATAATCTACAGATTTAAGCAATAAAAAAAGGAAAAAGCAGTTATTTATATAGAATGGAGTATACACTAAAAGAAAGCCAATTTATGTCTCAAAATTAAGATTTATTTTGCTAAAGAGATATAAAATTAAGGAAGTACAAAAAGATCACAATGTTTTTAAAACCTGCAACTGTTGAATGTGAATGCATTCAGATATACCCTGTTACGGCAGTAGTTATCCCAAACTTTTTATATAAATATAATATGAACTAAGCAGCAGATCAAGAATTTTGGTTATTTTTTCTATATATTATACTAAGGGTAAGGATAAGCGTATGCTTTTTTGTCTAAAACACTGTATCAATGGATAATACGTCAAAGACATTTTATTCGTGCATGTGACGTTCATGTTTGGAATGTGAATAGAATACCTTGAATATGTTATCACCCGAATACTATAGTTTAATTATTTTTACACATTGTTTAAGAAAATACAATTACTGTAGCTTAAATTATCAAAATGATATAAAATATTGTGAGACGAAAATTGCCAACTGGACAAACATTACATTGCGAACTGCAATTTCACACTTTCTGTCAATGGTATGAAAAGTTTATAAATAACTTGCGCTTTAATTTTTTAACTTTTTCAATATTACCTTAAAAATAAAACGTAGAATCATCACAAAAATAACACATTTGGCTAGTATCCACTTCAAATCAAAGAGTATATAATAACTTATCATAAATATCAAATCATGATCCGTCAGCAACCTTCACATTCACATAGACAATATTTCTTTTTGTTAATGACTTTTTAGACTTGTTATATGTTAAACGCATTTTAATACTAGGTATATACAGATTTACTGCGACGAGTAAAATATTCAGCATATTTTGTACAAAACGTATTCAGCGAAAACGAAAATGAAAAGGAAAGGGGTAAAAAGAAAAGAAAAATGGAAATAACTATAATTTTAAAAAGAGCACTTATATTTATGAACGACAAAACAGTCATAGTGGAAAATAATTCATAAACAACTATGAAGACTTATTTTAGTAGTAATTTTCGGATTTCATTTAACAGCAGCTTTTAGCCCTACAGATTTATATTAATCAAACTTACCGTAAAACTGAGAACATAGCTTCACTTTACGAAATGATGGCTAGTGTGTGATTCACAAAGCATAAAACATATAAGGGTATAGAAAATGGCAAAAATATTAATATAAACTAGTCTTAAAAACTTCGATTCAATTATTTTGAAAATTGGGAGAAATCTATAGGTTGGAAACCCTGGTAAATGTCAAATTGACATAATTTGTCAAATCGACTTAAGTTGATTCCAATTTTTATTAAGATCGATAAATACATATTTACATTAAAGTTAGGAAAAATTACTATAAAAAATTAAGTCTGGTTCTAGATCACTGTTCTAGGTTACTCCAACTTATCTAAAATGTAATGGTACATGGTAACCCTGAATGTCAAAGTCAAGTTTACGTGCGAAATTTTTTAATTTTTTTGACACTTCCTTAATTTTAATATCTCTTATTTTTGTACCATTCTTGAAAAAGTCATTGTTGTTGGGTTGTTTATCGACATTGATCGTATGTAAAGGATGCTCGAAACAACTTTTTGGACTTTTACCACTATATCTAATTGGCAAATCTATAATATATATTTAAGACTTTAAAAATCTAATCCAAAATTGTCGGGAAGGTTCACTAATGCAAACATTTGTAAAGGGGAACCAAAACTATTTTTAGTTTATGCCTTATATTATGTGAGGTAATAAATGTTGTTTCTTTCTATTTTCTTGTACAGCTCAAGTGCCTGAACATTCAAGGTAGAATAGGAAACTTTGAGCTATTAACTTAGAGCCTTTATAGCTGCAGTTTAAACTTATTCATTGGAAGAGGAGAGGTAGCTTAGGGAATTTACAGTGACCATTATTTGGATTTATCAAATAAAGACACCAAATAAACAAAGTATTTTATTGAATCCATGCAATAACATAAACAATAAACATACACATATAGTGAAAATGTAATACACATAAAGAAATTGCACTTAACTAAAGAACTGTAGCAACCTTAAAAAGAAAACTATAAAGGAATATATTTTAAAAGTTTAGAAGTGGAGCTTGATCTTAATGTAATTTTTCTAAAACGTTAAATACTGTAATATTGCAATTATGTATTTGAAGTTGGCACAAAAAGCAAACATCTAATTTAGATCTTATTAAAAATAAAGTGCAAAGTCAATTGGAAAAAATCCTGCTATATAATAATTTTGCCCATTTTGACAAAGCCAAGCCAAGGCTAATCCTAATCTACCCACACATAGTGCCATGCTATATCCCTCGAGGCTGTGCCATGCCTCCTCACAATTACCATTGTGGCACGGCATCCTACTGAGCTACAGCCGCGCCATCTACACTACAGTAAAGCCGTGCAGTTATTGTAAACAATCTTGCAAGTATAACATAGGCCAGTAATAAAGAGAATGTAATGATGCATTTTATCCAAGCAGAGATGTGTTTAAATTTTGGTATATGAGAATAGGTTATAAAACCTCAGTGATGTAAAACAGGGCATAGTGAAATAAGCTATTGAAATGTTAAAGTGTTGTTTTATTAGTAACCTATGCACTTTTCTAGGTTTAAAAAAATGAATTGCATTTATTATTATTTGTAATAAAAGAAATAATAATAATTAAAATTCAATTTTATATCAGTATTATTTCATGTCATTATTTATTAAAATCGTCCTAAATAAATGTGTTGAATAAAATATTATAAAGTAACAAAAAAAAAGAGAAGGATTAGAATTATAAAATGACTTTTTTTTCTTGGTTTCAATAACATTTTCAAAACTATGTCCAATCCAATAAATTATCATACAACAGTTGTTGCAATTAAAATCTGACTAACATAGGATTAATCATTAAAAGGTACTAGAAAAATAATCAAGATCTCAATTTATAATAGAAATACTTTTTTGTATCTCCCCTTTTTCTCTTACATTTATATTTGTTTTTTAATGCTTACTTAAATCCACAATAGAAAGAAAAATATAGTCATTTACTACACTTATCAAAGTTCAAATACAAAATATTTTTATCGTAAATTTTGAAATACATTATGGTGATAATTGTTTAACGTCGTATACTACTGGGCACTAATATTTTGTTAATTAGACTTTTATCCTTTTAATAACTTTAACATTTCATAAGATTGGAATCCATAAGTCAGGAGCTAGGTATGTCAATAAATAAAGCTAAGACATAGGTCATGATCATGGACCACTCTAACCAAATTGGTGCAATTGAAGGCCACGATATGGATATTGTCAATGAGATCGACTACAAGCAGCGAGGGATCAGTTGAAAGCGAAGTACAATGAATCGGTATGGGGAAGACAACAAAGACTTAACTCCTAAAGATTTGGAATGACAGAAACACTAAAAGAACCAAGGTCAAGTCTGGTCCTACTGATCATCATCTCAATATTTCTTTATGGAGCAGAGACGTAGATCCTTAAGTACTGAGAATACCGTGGACTGCAAACAGGACAAGACTCGATCCTAGAAGAGCTGAACGTCACAGTCTTTCCACAGTATCGCTCAGCGGCAAGGTTGGAAAATTTCGGTCACGTCAGTAGATGATCCCTGAAAAACCTAGAAAAACTTACCATTACGAGGAAGGAGACCCAGAGAGCGTCGTCCCTTGCGCTGGACTGACCAAATATGCACCGCTCTCGACACCACTATACAAACAGCTATCCACATCGGCGAGAACTGCACAGAGTGGATAAACAAGCTACGAGAGATGGTCAGCAGGAGAGGTCGCGAAACAATGCGCATATTGCATGTATGTGATCTTCATGGAAATAGCTTGACCGATTATGATGTGTCATTTGTACTCCCAAAAGTGTAACAGGCACAGTTAAAGGCTTCTTGGATTTAGTTACAATTTTTGTGTCTTTTCTATTTGTATGCAACAGTTATGGAGACATATCTCCATGACTGTTGCATTCATCTCCAAACTATAGTATGTATGTGACCAGAATCTTTATGGTTATAAGAAATATAATAATTTAAGCTTAATGTGAATTACTATAAATGTCTTATGAATATACATATTAGTAAAAACATTTGGTGCGATTAGAATAACAACTACCTTACAATGGTGTGAACAGGTGAAATAGACAAAACTAGAAATAGTTTTTATGATATTGAATGATTTTTCGTTAGTAAATCAACAATTTACTGCACTCATTTTTGTATGCAGGTAAAAATCAATGATTTGCTAACGAAAATCATTGATTATTACAGTACATAAGTATGGAATCATAAACAAGTGATGAATTTATACATTTTAAATTCTATCAAAGATTCTATTCAGCTACATTTATGTTATACAAATACGATTTATATTTCGGCAGTATATAGTGATTATATATAGATTTAAAAAGGCGAATTACAAATTTTATTTCAATGTATATAAATATAACAAAATACTATGCTCAAATTACACAAACATTGAAAGACAAATTGATTACTTCTCTCTGTTGAAATAGTCTATTACTAGTAATTGCTATGGTTACTATTTAATCTATTTAACTATTATTTTAGATATAATATTGCTTGATATTTTAATATAGGTAATCATTAAGCATTTAATAAGGCATCTAATGTATTATTTCTATATTGCATATGAGGTACATGCTGGTTATATAAAGCAACCATTTGAGACACTTGCTTTAGAATATTGGCTTGACAATGCATAAAATACTATAGACTATATTCTATCACTTTATAATAATTTAATTATAAATTTAATGGCCATTACGCGACTTTTTTGGTGTTATTCACATAGTAAAAATATTATAGAAACATTATTGCCACTGATCTCACAAGTTCACTTTAACATGAGACATTTTTAGTGACATTGTGAAAGAATATAACAGTAATAGCTATAGAAAAATACTCCACGATACTGGAATATATTAATTAATCAATCAAAAAAATAATTCATATAACAACATTGATGTAGAATTTGGTAGATTCACGATCATCACTCAATAATTGGAGTCACTAAAAGGCACTATTCATCTGTCCTTTTCACACTTGCTACACTTTTTATCACCAATAATGAAACAACATCAGTAATGCCTTGTTTGAAAAGAGAAGGCATGCATCCTGAAAGGACTTAACATATGCATTAAAGAGTTCATGCTTTATTACTTTGGCTTAAAGTCAATATCACATTAAATATATTTAATTTGTGTTGCCAAAATGTGTTTACTACATTTTTGCATGTAAACTGTAATAAATGGTTTACAACACTATTATATGGTAATAAGGTATTAATTTTAATGGCCTTTTATTCAATTAGGACTTGGAATGGCAATATATAGGTACTCAACAGTACACACACAAAATAAAGCCTTACACTAGATTTTGTATGAAAGTGTGAATCTACCAAATATGTCAATATACATTTAATGTTAGGAGTAAATTTTATATAGTACACTGTAAATTGTGATATAGACAACAGATTTAGTAAATAGCTATACTAAGGTGCATAATAATTTCAATATTTAATGTGTTAAAAAATTATCAAAATCCATATATCATGTTGGTAAATACTCCACAGACTTTTTTTTAACTTTTAATACTATTATGGAACATTACAAACACATTATCGGTTGAGCGTGGTAGCTCTAAGGCATCTACATCATTGGTTATTGTATAGTTTAAAAAATATTTATATTTACCGTCTAAGAATACATTGTAATAATATAAATGTTAACAGTGTAGATTAATAATACGCAAAATACGCGTCTGAGGTGGAGTTGCGGAAACCATAGTCCCTACTGCTAGCTCGTGATATATGTGTAAGCAAATATTGAAGCTGTTATTTTTGAGATCAACTATTGTATATTTTTCTGTAAAAACTACTTAGCTATTTTGATTGCCAATTTACCTTTGAAAAACTTTTTGTGATGTGGATGATTGGATGGTGCAGGCTGCTACATTAGTGATGTAAATGAATACTATGGCTTGATGTACAATACATGCCACGGTTTAAGCGGTCGCTAGTTGAGCATTGTGTGCCTATCGTAGATGTTACGGCGCTGCTCACGGACCTGCCTCTTCCACTTGTCCTGCTGATGAGTGACACGGTTCAAGACATTGCCCCTAACACCAAGTTGCTGTGATGGTCCACTGATAGTGCTTTCATCCTGAAATTATCAGAATTTAATTGAGATTATTTGAAATAACTTAACTTGATTTAATGACTAAAGGCTAAGTTAAAAGCAAGAAGTTAAGTTTCGTTATGCAATTTTAATAAGTACTATGCCCATAATAAAAACAACAAGTACATCCGACTCAAGTAGTGATAGTTACTTGACACTATATTTTATTGAGCAGCAAAAATGTTAAAGAAAGAATGTCGCTTACATCTTCATTTGTGTGTTCCTGATAAGAAGCCTTAGCTCGCTTATTGATAAGTGGATCAAGGCAGATCAGGAATCCCATGTAGACCACCAAAAGCATTATTACCCAGATGACAATAATTACTACAACCTGTAATAAAAGATTGTTAATAAAAAACAAAGCACATGACTCTCAAATGAATGAAGTGTCATAATATTTATATTTTTTTTATTTGCTAGAAAATAGCAGCACATTTGCATTAACCTTTATTATTGTGGTGTTCCTACTTTCATATTTGCATTCACAGCGCGGGCAAAATTCTTGTTCTCGTCCTTTTATTATTTCTCCAACTCGGGGCAGGATAACACCATCACAATTGCTAAAAGGATATTTAAATTAGAAGGCGTATTTTTCTTTATATGATATTGGCTACTACAAAATAATTTTTATAATGTGTTTAAAAGATAATTAAGCACACCAAATGATGAATACCATTTGTTTGGTGGTACATTTCCAATGTAGAGTTTGCGGTCCGATCCTGCTGTATTATTGAGAACAGCTGCTGGGCTTGGGCATACACACATACATCGCTTATCCTCATAAGATTGGGCCTAAAAAAATTTATTTGAAATTATTAACAGTTTTACCTAGTTAATGTAAAAATAAATATGCAATACGAAAACTTATATTTGAATCATATTGTTATCCTCAAATTAAGAAAAAGACTACTAGAAAAAGTAGTTTATGCACCTTTGTTCTGGTTCGTATCATATACAGGTCATATCAATTGTTACAAGTGTTAACCAATCATTTTACAAACGACCCAATAATAGCAGCTTTTGTTAAGATTGTCGTTGCAATAAGTGGAGCAATTTAACAATCCTTCGAGCTAAGAAAAATACCATTTCTTCAACTAAAATACTTTTCAGATTATTGGAAAACATGCATTTACCCTCACATCAATTACATTTTTATATTTCCTTCGTAAAATTAAATTCAAATTAACTACTTACGGATGTGAAAACGATGAATGTGAACGTGAATGTTAATATCACAAATTTAAAATACATCATAAAAGTCTTTAATAAATTTTAAACATCAAAGATTGTAAAAATCAGGTACGCAGTTCGCAAGTAATGGAAATAATTTGATTCGTCGACGAAAAGTCGATAGCAAAGAGTATAATAAGTATACTATAGAAAGAGGGGCAACTCGCACGAAGTCGTGGATCCGCGGCGATTGTGGCGCTCCATGCGTATAATCGCTGAACTAATTTTTTTTTTTTTTGGTATCTATATACGTAGGCACGCTTATTTAGCTCACTATAATAATAACTTATAAGTGGGAATCTAATTTATGAAATTAAAATTGACATTAAATCAATATTCAAAAAAAATACACCCACTTATCAGTTATTATTATAGTGAGCCGATATCAAGTAGCCTTCTATGAAATACCTCTATTAAAATGATCCTATTATTATTGGGGAAATAAAAACAAAATATTTTTATATTTTTGTACATTATTTATTATATTTCTACATAACTTAATTTTAAATCTATGCAAGTACATATACATCAATGACTTTCAAGATATCAGCTCAATATTTTAATATTTAATATATATATTTGAAAATTACATTTACGGTAATAAATAGTATAGCGCGGTCACAAAAAAATGCATACCCTGTAATTAAAACCAACCCCCAAAATATTTTCAGTCACATGCAAGCTGGCAACTGGCAATTTGTAGTTATTTGCGAGTTTAAACACTCTGAACATATTCTCTTACAACATAGGCAAGCAGATTTTTCTTTACAATAAAAAATTACAAATAAAAAAATATATTTTTTACATATACACACATGGACCCACCTACTAATTTCAGACACATCAGTTTATGGCTCTATAATTCCAGTGATTGGCACACATTTTCTGAACTTCACTGACCTTCTCTCAGGAAGGGGGAAACCGTGTATATGTGCACCTACAACAAACAAACAGAATGTGATTTCCTGTCAAGTATAGGAACTGATATGTAAAATGTATTAGAAGTAGGGCACCATTCAATATGATAACCGGAAAGTATAAATCACTGTGGTGCTAAAAACTACACCAAAATACGAAAATATTTAAATGTTTAAATGAGTCTGACGTATGGGAATAACATGAAAATTTTTATTGAATTGTAACTTACCATAATCAGTCCATCTAAAACACAGTTGCATACAGCGTCGTTTTTCACGAAAACACATTTTAATTAAAAACAAAATGAATTAAACAACATTTAACTAAGAATACAAGAACAGAAATAGAAATACGAAAAAACGTAGCGGTTTGATGACACATGAATGACTCGATGACAGAAATGATGCTTCTTCTCAGCCATGAGATGAAATGATGTTTACGATTATATAAAAGGTGGCGCCACTTTCCATACAAACCGTCCTTCTTCTAAGTTTCCACCCCCTGGTCGATAGAGAGAAATCGAAATGTCTAAATTTCAAAGAGTATATGTCAAGTAAAAAGGTATAGAATACCAAAGAGTGTGCAATGTAAGTCATAAACAAATATTTCTTTTTATTAAGGTTGCTAATTAAGAACTAATTACTCATAATTAATTATGTTCTGCATATTTATTTTATTATCCCTTATACTAATTCTATGTATATATTTTGTTACCATGTGGTTATTCTTCAGACATCAAAAAATAATGATCGGCAGAGGTCTATTTCTTACCTCCCACTTCGTCAACGAAAGCTGTTCAGAACTTTACTTACTCGTTGTACTTTATTTCAGGAATGCTTTTGATTTCTAAAGGCACATTATAATTATTAATTAATGTAGTCGGATAATTTTAACCGACTTCAAAAAGAAGGGGGTTATCAATTCGTCTGTATTTTTTATATTTTATGTGGTTTTTTTTTCAACACCGTCAGAGTCGCGGGCGATAGCTCAAAGTAACATCTAAATTTCACGTATACCGTTAATTTTAGATTTTTTGTTCATAAATTTCACTCATAAAAAATATTGCAAAAGTGCTGTTTGCCGTTAGAACATTGTTTAAACTTTTTAAGCTGTATTATTGTATATTATAAAAAATAACGTCAACAATTTGTTCCTTACAGTAATAAAACTTTCCTATAAGCCTGTTTACAGGACCTACTTATTTACTATTTATGTATTGTAAACACTATACAAAGGAAGTAGCCACACAGGAGGTAGACCGCTGCTATTCAAACTTGGGGTCGTGCTCGGAAATATGACAATGCTTTAGTATACGCCAATGTGAGCGCACCTTTAGGTATCGCCGTCGGAGCACTAAAACGTTACTTCTAACAAACATTATTCCATTATTTTATTTTATTTTACAGTATCAATAAATTGAACTGTAGAAATTATCTTATACGAGTTGATTTAAATTAAAACTGAATTTTATTATAACTTGTACTAGAGCCATAAAACATGTTATTACATTTGGAACTGAGCCGTGTGTATAGTTGAAAAAGCTTTGTATGGAGCTCAAACCAATAATAAAAACCTAGCAAAAACTTCTACAAATAGAGTAAGAATCACACCAGTACTCGTGGACTATTTTAAGTACATTTTCGGAAGTTGGTCAGAGTTTAAATTGATTCCCTAGAAATGACTTACTTTCTATTATTTTTGCGAGTTTAATTTTGAGAAAACTAAAGCAGCTTTTTAGCGCAACCCAGCCGTTATTGTTCCCAATGGAGCGAGCGCGCGAAATTCAACGCAAAGACTACCTACCTACACCTCCAAAGTTTATTGCGCACAAATTGTATGCATTATTTATTTAATTTAAAAGCGAAGAAACCCGAGCGCGATCATACGGCTCTACGCCGAAATGAGAACGCGAAAGAATGCGAGGTATAAATAAGTCGTCAGACAAGAATATAAAAGTGAAAGTACGTTGTTTTGTATGATGAAGCTTGGCTGCTGAGTAACTTCTGCTTTTACAATTGTAGGCAAGTATTTTGAAAAAAAATCCCAGTCTTATGTATTTCCATATTTTAAAAAACACAACTAAGATAAACAGCATTTCATTCGTTGCTGATTTAGTTGTCGAATTTGTACATAAAACTTTTGGTCTTCGGTGATTGATACAGATCATGCTTTGCGTTACTTGAAAACGATTATTTCTAATAATGGATATAGACAGTGATTTTTTTGATTAATTTATTAATCACAGAAACTTAAACAAAGTAGAAAACGTAATACCTACATAAATCTTAGTGACAATGTTAAGCAGAAGAATTGTAATTGTACCTAAATGAGCTTATAGATTTGATTATCATAAATGATGATGATAATAATATGTATATATTGCTTTTTTCATTTTTTTGTTACTTGATTTTGTACATAAGTATAAAAATCTATGCTATTTCTAACTCATCATACTTTTTGACAAAAGATGGCGCTGGTAGTCCTGTAAACTTGTTTTGTTCAGTTTTAACTTTTCGTTAACACCAGATAACATTCCGATATAGCCGATTCTTTAAACTAACTTATAAAAAAATATATTCTTAAACAAAATGGACTATACAGTAATAAAATAATGTCATGAATTCAAAGAAAGAAAGTTCCCTTCTTTCTAGTAATATTGTACAATTATTGTTACTTCGAAGTCGTTATTGGCCGAGGTAAATTAGTGACATTTTATATGAGACGTCTTACCTAGACCTAGTTACGTTAAATTCCTACCTATTTACATATGCTAGATGTATGAATATGGAAGGGGAGAGAGGTATATCAGAACCGCGCAGAATGGGTTAAGGGCATCAGTTGTCTTGTGGGTAAAAATAAATATCGTATCGGTTTAGATAACTGGGATCTTGTTTAAAGCGTCATGTGCACACAGTATTCATAGTTAAAGTTTTCGGCTTTCCGAATAATATATATCGAAGAAAATTCTTTCTCTTTTTCATAAGTTATTTAAAAGTCCTCATCGTTTTACGCACCCGAGCCACGTCCTCGGATAGCGCGGCCAGATGACAAAATATCGTATAAAATACAAAGAGCACGGGGACTGCTTTGCATGTTTCATGGACTTTGAGAAATATGTGTTTAGTCTTACATAGACACAAATGTCTACGGTACTACAGAGATTTCATATTTTTTTATTTGTTTATGTTTATACGCAAGACAATGTAGACAAAAATCATCTATTTTCATAGTTAAAAACAATAATAATTACGATAAAACCCTCTTAAGTAGTTTAGTTAATGTGATAGAAATTAATCAGTGTGTTCATCTTCTTCTCAAAAGGCTATTAATAGAAACACAATTAAAATCCTATCTTAAACGATATGTTAAAATTTATACTAAGAATAAATAAGTTATATCGTAAATTGTAAACTCGATATGATTGTGATTAATGTACCATTTGCTAACTGTACACAATTACAAGTGTAAACCCGCAAAATTGACAATGAAAATAATGTTGAGTCTATTAATTCCCTCGACAACCTATTAACAAGGGGTAGCACTCGTATTAAAATGATAAATGATTCTAATCATCATTCCTACATGACTGTTCATAAAAGACCTCCCTTGGTCCTATAAAGAAAAAGTATTTTACTTTGAAGTGTGATATTTAGGCGAGCACCATGGTTCTTGTTAAGTTGGCTCAGTTTACCCTAACTTGGTCGCTATGTGCGTTAACTTTAACAAATTACCAAAGCAATGAGAGTGGAGTTGCGCAACTCAGTTTTGTCTCGCAGAGGTAAGAAAGATGAATCGTTATTTTGACCCTTTTCGCAAAAATTATTACACTCATCTAGAAAATGACTTAAAATTTGTTACCGAAGCTCCAGAATGGTGAAGGGTATGTTTTGTATTTATTACGACAGATTAATTGTAGTTGTAATTGTTTTATTTCGACACAATTGTTTGTTTAGTTACTCTAACTGAACAGTGAAGTTCATCGAGGTAAGGAAATGAGAATTTTTTTTTTGTTTAGACAGAATTTTTTGTAATAGATATGAGAACAAAGAAGTGTTATCGACTAAGAATCAGATCTTGGTGTTATTAAATAAAAAAAGTGATTGTCTTTGTTTTAACATTCTTTATTCAATATTTTTTTTCTATTAACGCAATGGATAATGCATATCTATGGCCAGGTTCTAAATACACATTAATTTAAAC